CCGCCCCCCACAGCACCCAGGCTGACTGGCAGCTGGGCCAGCCCCGCCCGCCAGGCTGTTTTCTCACAGGGCCTTCCTGAACACTGCTATTTTTGGCCCTCGTGACAGTAATTGATGGCCGGTGGGAAGGTATAAAAGCAGCCGCCCGGCCGTGCGTCCACCAGACAGCTCAGGCAGCAGCTTTCTGCGGCGGACCACGGCCCCGCCACACTGCCCTTGCACACCCCACCAGTGATCTGAGCCAGACACAGCCCAACTGCTGACTGCGGACCCCCACCCTCCTTGCCGGACCTTCCCGGGGGCTTCCCGTGGATTGGCCTGTCCTTGCTCACCTACCCTCCTTGCCACCTCCAGACTCTCTCAGCTACAGGTAAGACACAGCCCATGCCCTCCGGTCTGAGATGAGACCAGAGACTATCCTCAGCTAGCACAGCCTCACCGTGGGTTAGGGGCTGGCAGGGGCTGGGTACCGCGGTGAAGACAGCGGGTTAGGGGCCAGGTGCCGCGGTGAGGACAGTGGCCACCTGGAGGTCACTGCATTACAAAGAGACCGAGGTGTGCTTTTCTGTCCCCTCAACATCTCTGCCAGTGGTGTCTATAACTCCACTTTATGGATGGGTAAGGGGAGGCGGGAGAGGTGACCTTGCTGAAGGTCCAGGGTCAGTAGTTGAGTTCTTGGTTTCAAGTCCAGCTTTCCTGACCCCAAATCTGTTTACTGGGTTCTCTCACTTGTGCGCGTTCTTAACCGAAAGTAATAACATCCCGGGCACGAGGGCTTCTAACGGGGGAGGAAGGAAGAGCCCATCTTAGATCAGCAGCCTTTGAGCTGCTCTTGGGGCACCTTCCTGGGGGCAGCCTCGGATGGGTGGCAGGCCTCAACACCTGTCCTCTGTTGACCACCAGGTGGCTGCCTCCCTCGCCACAGCATGAGGTCCCGGCTTCTGCTCTCGGTGGCCCATCTGCCCACAATTCGGGAGACCTCGGAGGAGACACTGCCCAGGGGGCCCGGGCAAGAGCCCCCCGGCTCCCCCACCCTGGACGACTACGTGAGATCCATCTGTCAGCTGGCGCAGCCCACCTCCCTGCTGGACGAGGCCCCAGCATGCAGCCAACTCGGGCGACCCCACCGGCCAGCCAGGGCCTGCGAGAAGAACCCTCCCGCGTCATCCCTGCAGGACATCACCTCCCACTTCAGCGGCCAGCAGCCCACACTGCCTGCGGCTGGCACCACTGACCCCCTGGACTGGCTCTTTGGGGAGTCCCAGGAAAAGCAGCCAAATAGGAGGACTGGCCCCTCTTCGGGCCCTTGGGGTCCACACAGACAGACGGACAGCGGCAAGGCCAGGGGGGTGCCCAGAGGGAGGCTCTGTGAAGCCAGGGCACCAGGGCACTCCCTGGCAAGACTGTCCTGGGATGGGTACCAGGGCCCGGGTGTGAAAAGCCGGACTGGTGGGCAGCCCGGCCGGGCCACAGCCTCCCCCCGCAGCCCCCGCCCTAGCAGCATCCTCCGGACTCTCTACTCACACCTCCCGGTCATCCATGAACTCTGACCCCTCCCCAATAAAGGCTTCTGTGGAAAGCAATGGGACCTGTCTCTCTCCCCTGCTCCCCTGTGGTGGGCGCTGTCCAGCACATCTCTGGGAGGACCACCTATGGGCAGGGATGCCTGCTCTGGCAATTCCCAGGGAGACCCTACTGCGATAGTGACGACAGCCTGTCTCTCATGACGAGACATGACTGATCCTGCTTTTTCCATCCTTAATGTTTCGGTTGTCAGTTTTCTCGTGAGTGAAATGGGGACAAGGATGGGCCCGACTCCTGGGCTGCTCTGAGGAAGAGACGTGGAGAAACCGGGGTAGGGCTGTGGGACGGCTGTCTCAGCCCCCCGATTTCAGAGCAAGACTGCCTCCTGGCAGCCACACTCAGAGCCCTTGTCCGGTGAGGCCTGAGGAGACAGGGGTCTCAGCAAGAGTGCCACTGTCTTCCAGGGGACCTGCTGCCTGGGCGCTCTGGGCCCTGTAGGGAGTTCCTGATGCCGCGAGCACGTCAGAGTCTGCACCCTCAACCCAGGGGCCAAATGCCTGGGCCCCGTGGTCTGGGCCCACCCCACCCCACCAGCGCCTTGCTGCAAGGCCAGGCTCTCGGCGGGGGCGAAGAGCAGGGTGCCCTGGTGCCCCACACTAGGCTAGCCCAGGTACCCTAAGGCTCAGGCCCTACTTGCTACCGAGTATGGAGGGGTGCGATCAGGGCTGGGGTGGGACATGAGCCCTCCACCCTGACAGTGCTGGGAAGCACTTTGTGGCTCCCAGGAAACATGTCCACGGGGCCAGCTACTCAACCCAAGGACCAGTGGTCTGTCAGGCCAACCCTCCTAAGGAAGGATCCTGGCCTTCCACACCCCCAGAAGAGACAGACCCCGAGAGAAGGGACACTCCTGCAGTTTCTCACACTGCTCAGGAGGGCTGGGGCTAGTGGCACTGGGTGTAGTGTGGGCTCACAGCCACCAGGGGGAGCCTCCAAACCCAGGTGAGCTAGGCACCTGGCTGGGCAGGTGGGGAGCCACAGGCTAGCAGCCCCTGCACGCACTGCCAGGACCTACGGCCTCTGCTCACACTGCTGGTCTACAGCGATGGGCTTACACGCTGGGACTGACGGCTGGACGACTTTATTTTTTTTGAAGAGTTAAAAAAATGTATTCACTTTCTCCATGAGGGAGACAGGCAGGCCGGCAGGCACTCTAAAGAGCATCCTGATGCTGCGATTCACTCCCAGCTTCAACCTGCCCTGGACCTGGACCGTGGGCACACGTGTGCCCTGTGCATGCAGGAGGTCTGGTGTGGACCTGTGGCCCTCCCGCGGGGGTCCCCCTCTCACGGCACGGTGTCCTATCACTGCCGTGGTCTGGCCCCATGGTTTTCTTCCAAGACACTAGTCAGGCTGGCTGAAACTCTCTGCCACCTTCGAAGGCACTACTGTTCCCGGTAGCTCATGCTTTTCACGGTCACACAATCAAAACTACCCCAACGGCGAGCTTTACGGTGACAGAAGCTGGCGCCTCAGCCTCCTGAGAGGGGGCTCCCCATCCCCCAAGCCCCTGGGAAGCTGGGATGGTTCACAGGGACATGCTGGTCAGACAAACGTCACCTCTCCACGTCCTACAAATGCCAATGAGACAGTGGAGGAGAAGGTGCGTGAACTCTCGGGCTCAGGCTGCAGGTGCTACAGGGAGGCCCTGTGACAGCAGAGACGGCCCTTCCAGGGTGCTGTGAGGTCCAGCGAGGGCAGCCCTCGGGGCGAGTCTCATCAGCTGAGGACACCTCAGCTTGGGGATGGAGACTGACAATCAGCCTCTGCGTCTCTGAGACTGTGCAGTGACATGCAGGGAGCTTCCAAAGACCTCCAAGTGACGGAGACGGAGCCATATTATAAACGACTGTGCTCGGACCTTGAGGCCAGGCCGGCATCTTGTGGTTACTGCAATGTGACTTGCGATGGCTTTTCCTACATCACAAAGCTCTCGGATTACAGTGAGTACATCAGAGGCCAAGGGCTGGCGCACTGGGGCTTCCGAGGCAGTCCTCACTCCTCCTGCCTGCCCAGCCTTGGGGCCTGTGGCACCTGTGGAGAGGTGACAGGAGGCCCTGTGGCAAGTGTCCGGTGCTGGGCGTTCTCAGAGGCCAGGAGGTCCCGGGTCTGCCATCTTCAAAATGGACATGGGACCTCAGTGAGACCCTGGAGGGGTGCCCAGGAACTAGTCGGGCCCATCAGTGTCAGAACTCTGTGCCTCCCAGGCCTGGACTCTCATCTTGTAGCTGCTGTGACCCCCAAAAGACACACACTAGGTCAGGCAGGCATACCCTTGGTTGTTAGAGCTGCAGGGGTTTCTGGCATGGGACTTTCTGGGGTTTTTGGCATGGGACTTTCTGGCTCTAGAAAATCAGGTCAGAGCCTCACACTAGCTTTAGGGCTAAGTACACAAAAAACCCCTGTGGGCTGACTTCCTGTCGTGGCAGGAACACCTCTTGCTTGCGGGGTCCTCACTTCTCCATGCAGACTGTCCCGCACACACAGCCTCAGGGTACAGGCTCAGGACTGCCTAGGCCCAGTTGTTCCTGCAGAGGGGAGTATCTTGGGGAATCCCAAGTGCTAATATCAAGCTCTTACTCACTTCTCAAGCTTGACCTTTATCAGAATTCCCTGAAGGGCTTGCTGAATCACAGATGGGAGGACCAGCAGTTCCCGAGTCAGCAGGCCTGGGAGAAGGGGGTGCTGAGAGCTCACATTCCTAACCAATTTCCAGGGGGTGTGGAGCTGCTGGTGTGGGGCCCGCCCGCTGGGGGCACCAGGGTCTTAGATCAGCCCATGAATGGCCCAGAGTTGAAGAATGGCAGTGTAGCCAGAGGGCCCTTCATGCCAGGCTCCACCATGGACCTGAAGCATCAGTCCTCACTGGCCCACAGGTCAAAGCCCTCGGTCCATCCCATACAGTTGCTGTCCAGGGGCATTCTGCACTCAGCACTCTGGGGGTCACAACTCAGGCTCCTCCCTGCTTGCCCCAGGCTTCACTGCTGGCTAGTCATCCTGCACAGTATGGGTTCTGTCACTGTTTTTTTTTCTTTTTTCTTTTGAAAGTTTTTGCTATAGGGGGTGTGTGCTCTCCAGAAAGACAGAGAGACAGAAAGTGAGAAATCACCCCCCTCCAGGGGTGATGGCCCCACTGCAGTCCCTTCTTTCCAGGGGGTGTGGAGCTGCTGGTGTGGGGCCCGCCCGCTGGGGGCACCAGGGTCTTAGATCAGCCCATGAATGGCCCAGAGTTGAAGAATGGCAGTGTAGCCAGAGGGCCCTTCATGCCAGGCTCCACCATGGACCTGAAGCATCAGTCCTCACTGGCCCACAGGTCAAAGCCCTCGGTCCATCCCATACAGTTGCTGTCCAGGGGCATTCTGCACTCAGCACTCTGGGGGTCACAACTCAGGCTCCTCCCTGCTTGCCCCAGGCTTCACTGCTGGCTAGTCATCCTGCACAGTATGGGTTCTGTCACTGTTTTTTTTTCTTTTTTCTTTTGAAAGTTTTTGCTATAGGGGGTGTGTGCTCTCCAGAAAGACAGAGAGACAGAAAGTGAGAAATCACCCCCCTCCAGGGGTGATGGCCCCACTGCAGTCCCTTCTCCTCCATTCTCCTCTCCGGATCTTGAACACTCTTTTCAAGTAAGAAAAGAGATGGCAAAACCAAAGACCACCAGACAGCAGGTGAATGGCTGGCAGCATGCGGCAGACGTCAGGGCCTGGCCAGGGAAGAGCATGCGCAGCAGCAGGAGGCATGAGGCATGTAGTAGTGAGGGAGAAAGGGCAGCTCTCAGAGCTCCGGAGGGTGGGCAGGCCAAGGGAAGAGGGAGCTTGAAGTTTGTGTCATTCCAGGTTGTCACCGGCTGTCCAGCACTGCCTGGACAAAGCTTCCCTTCCCCCAGGCCCACATGACCAAGCTCCTGATGGCCTGGGCTGACCGGCGCGGCGCTCAGGTGGCCAGCTGAGACTGTCTGGCAGGTGGGTTCCACGCAGCCCATCCTGTCACTGGCTCAGCTCCCCAGCTGCCCCGACTTACCAGGGTCACTCTCTGGGTGGTGACCGCAGAAGGCTGGCTGGCTAAGGAGAGGGAGAATCGGTGAGGTCTCTGTGGGTGTCCCAGGACTGAACCGTTCACCCCATGTCCAAAGACAGGAAGGAGACATAGAGTCCGCTGGCTCTCACCAGGCACTGGTGCACGGGAGAAGGTGCAGGAGTCAAACGGATCTCAACTATGAAAACTCCCCAGTACAATCCCACCACAGTAAGATTTGCCATTGGGCTGCAAAAACAGACTTAGACCAAGACGGCGCACAGCCCCGACCAAGGCTTCCATGGGAAACGTCTGGAGGTTCTGGATGTCACTGATCTGCCTGGCCCGGCTCCTGAGCCTGGGTACTCCTGGACGCTCTCTGGAGTCCGGCTGGGACCCAAGGGCTATGTTTGGCCTTGGACGTTTTGTTTTTTTAGTTATAGCTGCATTGTATTTCAAGATGTGGAAAACTCATAGAATTCCGGATATCGACTGTAGCTTCTTTTGATAACTTGGAAGGGGTCTGGCTGTACTGGGCCCACGTTCCTGCTTAGCCGTGTTGGGTTTGATCTGATGGGTGGCTGCCACCATCACGGGGGACCCACTCTTCATGCCCGCCCTGCCTAGCCCTGCAAGCAGCTGAGCTTGTGGCCCCCTGTGGGTCCACCCCTCAATTTACACATGAGAGCACTGAGGGCCAGGAGGTACAGGTGAGACTCTGACACACCAAGCATGCTGGCAGGGGGCAGGGGGGTGGGGACCGAGAGGGACTGTCCTCCTGGTTGCTCCACCCTGTGGTGTGACGTGGAGGGGGAGGGCTGGACTGTGCAGGCACTAAGATTTCCGATTCCAGCCGGCCCGGCGATTCAGCGGACAGAGGCCCACGCGGAGGGGAAAGGCCCCCAGAGCAGTTTGTACCTGCTCTGAAGTCCCACAGGGATACTCGACCTCAGAACCCCTTCCGGGACCTCAGGGAGATACCCTGGCTGCTGGGAACCTGGCTCCTAGTTCGAGGTGAGTATCTCATTTCTTTTGCAAACTGGGACACTCCTGAAACAGCAGAGGAAAGCCAGGGCTGTGGTCGCCAGGCCAGGATAGCCGGTGACCTCGCGAATAGAGAAGAGCAACGGCCTCACCTCTCGGTGTCTCAGCTGGAAGCTTTTGCCCTCGTGGTAGCAGTTGTAGGTCTTCAGCAGGCTTAAGAGCTCCGACCTGGAACGGGAAGAACAGAGGTGCACTCACGGGGGTGGACGGGCCTCGGGTCCTTGTTTGTGAAGCAGGCAGAGAGTGCGCCTCGAGCCCACCACCCGTGATCTGTCGGCTGAGAGACCGCACCGTGGCATCGGGGCACACGCCCTTCTGTCTTCCAGAGGGTCTCACATACGGGGCCTCCAGGGGGTGTGGGGTGGGGCTGACAGGAAGCAAACCTCACTGAAAGGGTTCACAGTACCCCGGACATCGAGGGCAGAGTGGGGGGTGGTACAGTCTCGCCTTTACGGATAACTCCCTGACGACCTGCCTATCCTCCTCTGAGTCACGTCCTTGGAGTAAATCCCCTGGGCCTGACCTGCTGGAATTTTAAAGACTCTTGCTTTTCCCCCATATTGCTTCCTACAAGGGCCTGGTATGGCTGTCATGGGGAACCCCGAGCGGTGCCTGCCTCTTGCCCATCCTGGCTGTCCAAAGTGCAGTCAAGAGGTGCAGATGACAGCCCCGAGAGTGACCCCAAAGGCCTGGGGAGGCCACTTTGTCCAACACTTTCTCCCAGCATAAAGGCAAGCCCAGTGACCTCCCTGGCATGGGGAGGGAGAAGACCAGGGCTGGTTTTGCCCCAAGCTGGGCTCTGCAACCCAGGCCACAGACTGCTCTGAGAGCCACACAGGTCACTGTAACCTTCTCGTAGCCATGTAAAAACGGAAAACGAAACATTAGTAACATAAATGAATAATGTTTTTATTGAACCCACTAGATCTACATTATGATGCCAACATGGGATTAATATAAGAACTCTCCTTGAGCTCTTCATGTGAAGTGCACTCTAACTTCATGGGTCGGGTTCGCCATCTGCAGGTCGTTCATGTGAACCACACCTCCCCAGCCACCATCACGTGCGACTCGGGGCTCCCTCTGCTGGACAGACCTGGCACTATCCCCCAGGGCATACTATCACAGATCTTTGAAAAAGTGCCCAGTACCCTCCACCCTCCCTGCCCCAGCGAGGGAGTAGCCACAAGGAGATGGTGAGTGTGAAGCCCCCGCCCCGCCTGCACACTAAGGCTTACTTCATAATGGACTTGCTGTCACTGATGGGCACGTGAGAACTGGGAGGACCGTCTTCCTTCATCTCCTGAATGTAGTCCTGGAAGCTACCTGCAGGGAAGGCGAGGAAAGGCACAGATGAGGGAGGTGGGAGGAATGCAGCCTGGCTTGAAGGCCTCGCGTCATACCATCTGGGAGCAGGACAGCCACAGCTCACAGGGTCAGCCCAGAGAACGTGGCACCCCGCTGTCGGTTGGGTTCTGGTTGGATAATGGGAGCGGGGTAATGGCCACACCCCTGCCTTTGGCAGGAGCTCTGTGGGGCCAGCCCTTCTGGGTGGGTTCTTGTACTGTCACCAAGTGCTGGGCCGGCAGGCGCCTTCTGTGAGCCGGCTTACCAAGTCCTTCCTACACGGCGCAGGGACCAGCCTGTTCCCACTGTGGGTGAGAAGGCAGGGACAAAGGCTGGACCCTGTGCTCAAGGTCACCCAATGAGTAAGTCGCAAAGCCTCTGTTTGAACATGGCATTCGGACCCTCAGTCTGTTCTCCGAATCCCTCTGTGTGTGGATCTGGGGCAGTGACTTAGGCCGCCCAAGCTCGCCTTTCCTTCTTTGTACAGCGGGGTCATCTCCAGCCTTAACATGGCACTGTCACGACCTTGGGGCCTCGAGGAGCTACTCCATCCCTCCCTGCATCCCTCACGGAGGTGAACCCAGGAACAGCTTTCTCCGCCCTGCCGGCCTCTTCGGCACAGGCACCTGCTTCTCATTCTCCATGGCGCTCTCTCCGAGGACCATGTCTGGTCAAGGCCTCGGTGAGGTACAGCTTCACATGAGTTCCCGGGGGCTCAGCGTCAGGCCCGGCTGCTGCTGGATTGATGAGTGTCCTTGGAACTGTCACGGCAGAGCGCTCTGTCCCCAGCGCTGCCGCCGACCTGCCCAGCACACTCTCTCCCTCTGCTCGACACCTGCTAATGTGAGCCAGCGTCTGCGCTGCATCAGCCCAGCCAGTCTGGTTGGCGTGAGGAGGGGGTGATGTGAGATGTGGGCTTTCTGGAAGACCTCAGGGCCACCCTATAGAGCCCCTTGCTCTGGAGTGAGGTGGGCCATGACCTGGAGGAAAGTCGGGACCCCTGCAGCAAGACCCTAGCTCTGCGGGGACACAGGGTGGGGACAAGGCTGGGGACCTCTGGTCACATTCTTCTTGACAGGACAACGGGGATTTCGAAATTGGGTTTCAGTTCCTCAGCACCTCTGCCTGCCTATGGAAAAACTGACCTGCTGGTTCCCTGTCTGGGCAGTTCCTCAAACACTGCGGGGCAGGGGCTGACCCCACCAGGGTAAGGCCATGTGAGTGGGTGTCACAGTTCACAGTGTGGCTGGGCATCCGTGGCCCACTCTGTCACACATTAAGCAAACTCATGAGAGGAAGGGCTAGATTGATCCAGAAATACAGGAGGTGCCTTCCTTGGCACCTTGCTTCTGCCCCACTTCCTG